TAATAATAATTTATTTATTTATATTATTTTTTATTTAAATTTTAACAACAACTGATATTTGGTTGATATAAATTTTTTTAACAATATTTGTTTGTTATTTTTCTAAAATATGATAATTGCATTGGCCACTTGATATGCCCATAGCACTGTTTCCAATCTTCCAGTTCTGATTTCGAAGGCACTTTGTCAACCAAACCCAAACAACTTTCCCACAACAAAAATTAATCACAAAATGGTGAAAGTTCTCTTGCTGGCGTTCACCGCTACATGGGCGAATTTTAACACCTGTTAAATAAAATCTTTTATGCAGGTTGTACAACCAACATAGAAACATCTAGATTCTAGAGTAACAAATCTCTATTCTTAAAAGTTATTTACACCAATAAATAATTACATATAACAATTTAAAATTTCATGAAATCTCACTCCTAATAATAATTAATATTATAGGACATTAGGCAACCACTCCCAACAAGCAATTATACAAAAAACTATGATTAAAAGTAATCAAATAAAATTAAAGAGTAAATTAAATTGAAATAAATCAAAGAAAAATAAAAAAACTAATTAATATATATATATATATATATATAAATTAAAAATTTAAAAAAATTTGGTACATGAAGAACGAGAAGGAGGGGGGACGTCGAGAGGGGTTGGGGGTAGAGTTTCAACAACAGGTGAGCTGTCACCCACTATTAAAACTCATTATTTTTTTTTAATTTTAAAAGTTTTAATAGCAGGAGACAAATCACTTACTGTTGAAACTCTATTTTTTTTAACATTAAAAGTTTCAACAGTAGGTGAGTTTTCAATAGCAAGTGACAGCTCACTTACTGTTAAAACTTTTAATATTTAAAAAAAATAAAGGGTTTCAACAGCAGTTGAGCTGTCACCGCTGTTGAAACTCTTCATTTTTATTTTTTTAAATAGTAAGAGTTTCAATAGCGGGTGAGCTATCACCTGTAGTTGAAACTCTTTGTTTTTATTTTTTTAAAAAATTTTAAGTGTTTCAAGAATGGGTGACAACTCACAACTGGTGAAACTCTTTTTTTTATTTTTTAAAAATATTTTTAAACCTTTGAACATCGAGTTAATTTATACCTGATATTAAAATTATTTTCTACATCAGTTATTTTTTACCTGATGTTGAAAATTCTCTTAATATTATAAAAATGCTACCACCTTATTTTAACAAGAGGTTCCTTTTAACTGATGTAAAAAGTTTTCTGTAAAAAGTAAATTTTGCACTAGTGAGATGAGGAAGAAAGATTATAGGAAAAATGATAAAAAAATTTTTTTGAATTATATAAATAATAATTTGATCTCTCAATATGTCATCATTCTACTAAAGTCTCTAGAAACTTTTTTGTCATTAATGATTTATATAAATGACCAAATTATCCTCGTTGAAATAAAATAATCACAACTTTCTTTCTTATATTCATAACAATACAATAACAAATCACAAGTTTGCACATCAAATTTCTGATATTGCTACAAGTGTTGAAAATAACAAGTAATGATCACAAGTTTTGTTTAAATAATCACAATTTTACTTGTTATATTCCCAACAATACAATAATAAATTACAACTTTGTATATCAAATTCTTGATATTGCTATAAGGGCAATTTAGTCATTTATATAAATTTATTGATAACAAAAAAGTCCCTAAAGATTTTAGTAAAATTATGACATTTTAAAAAATTAAATTATTATTTATATAATTTAGAGGGATTTTATTGTCATTTTGTTAAGATTATAAGAACCACAAGCTTTTATTTTAATAAAAATAAAAAAAGTGCGCATAGGTGCTGTGTAATTACATCCAATCAAAAGTGAGTTGACCCCTATTTAACTTCATTATTATTATTATTATTGCCCTTACCCTCCCATTCTGAGGTCGTTAGTGAGTCCATATTTCCAACCCTACTGCTACTTTTTGAAATGTTCAAACAATTCGTCTGTGGAAATTGAAGTGGACGATAAGGATGGAATCAAGTTTGGGGGTTCCATTATTTTTAGCAGGAAGACTTGTCAAACGTAACAATGATGTGTGCCCTTTTTGCTGAAAATTGTGGTGTTCGTTTAGTGCACTGTATGGGAGCAGGTGATATGCGATCATAACATGCATTTATATCACATAAATAGATGTTGGTCAAAATAAAAATATCACATAAATAGATGGACCAATTCATCGATTTCGGCTTAATTTTTTTTCCCTAAACTACTTTCTCATTTTCGGAGGATGTCAAGTCTTATGAAGTGCTTCATAAGCACTCTCGTAAACGAAAAAAGCACTACAAAAAGTATTTTACATAATAGTGTTTGTTATTTAGGCATGGACCCTTCATGACTTAATTAATTTGTAGACCTTTTGTTTCTTATAACAATATACTTACCTTTATCGAAAAAAATGTACTTATTTTCTGGAAAAACAAAAGCACAATGTATGCTTATTTTTGTTTTCCTGGACAATAAGGAGTAGTAAATGAAAATTTTTTCAATAACCGAAATATATTTTTCAATTTTGAGGAATAAATATTTAAAAGTCTTTTTTCTAATCAAATTTAAATCCTCTAACGATAAAATTGGTGAATTTTGGCAAATTTTCTTTTCTTTCTCCTTCTTTTTAAGAGAGAGAAAAATTTTATAATTTTTAAAAACAATAAAATAGGAAAAAATATTAGAAAAAGAAAATCACCTGAATTTACCAATCCCACTTTTTCAGAGAATTTAAATCCTTTCTAATCAATACTCAAGGATAATAGAATTGCAAGGGACAGTTTTCTCTGACCATGGGACTGATTGGCTTTCAATGGCAGGGAGGTTATACACACACACACGCACAAGCCAAACCCATTCATTTACCAACTCTAGTTTCACATGATCCTAAATTCCTAATTATGCTTGTTTTTGTGGGAGATGGGGGGTTATAATCTCCTTCTGCATTTTGAATAACCATTCTGGTGATCTTCTTTTAAAGTAAATCTGATGGAAAGCAGTGGAGTCAAGTTCGTTGTGAAGACTCGCCAAAGGGGGAAAAAAAAAGTTCGCTGTGAAGGTTCATTCCAATTTCATGTGTTGATTAGTCTCTGTGGAATTCATTCATGGAAGGCCAACATATATGAGTTGGGCCTTCAAAAGCCCGATTTTATTCAGCAGACCTTTACAATAAGTAAGTTTACCAAACGTTTGTGGCACGAATAATCTGGGCCCCTTAAATATTTTTCTTGGAATTAATTCTTAAAAATATATATGGAGAGCATTTTTTGAGAAAGAACAACCTTATAAATAATGTTTAGATTTCTCCAAAAGTTAATCTCACTGCTTCCAGTTATGGGACACCTTTTGGAGGGGGGGGGATTTTGATGGACATCACCAGTGAAATAAACTAGTTTCTTATAACATAAAAAATTAAAGTATCAATCTTTGTTAAAAAAGGTACTTTCATTTAGTTCTCAACTATTCCTTCAACAAGATTACTTTTAATAAGAAGATATTAATATAAAAATAAAAAATAAAAAAAATTACATATACATCCTATGGAGTTGCCTTGTTTACAAAGAACTTCTGAAAAACAAAGAAATCACAACTAAGTCTCTTAAGACTTAAATATAATTTAAAATTTAAATAAAAAATAATTTTCCTATGAAATATATAAACATTGCATGAGTCAAATAATTTACAACTATAATTTTAAATTTTTACAACTATAACTTCATATATTTAATGAGTAAATTAATTACTTTACCTATTAAATATGTAAAGTTATAATTGTAAAAGATGAAATTTATAGTTGTAAATTACTGATGAGATATTTGTAAATAATTAACGTTAAACTTTGTTAGTAAAGCATAATTATTTAACTATTGGATATGTGAAGTTATAGTTATAAAATGTTAAAATTATAGTTGTAAATTGTGAATGAATTAGTTGTAAATTAATTATTTAATTAATGTAATGTATGTTTAATTAGGGTATTATTGTCTTTGTAACTTAATTTCAAATTAAGGTCCCAAGAGATTTGGTTGTAGTTTTTGAATTTTTTTGGACTTATTTATGAATAAGCCTACTTCATGTGACCTATATATGTAATTTTTCTAAAAAAATTGATGGAGACCGGTGGAGTCAAATTCGTTGTGAGGAAGGTTCGTTCATTCCGTAGAATATGATTCATGAAGTTTTTTGTCGAAATTGGCAAATGGCAACATCTCTTTCTTTGGTTGATGAAATGCTGCAACTTTGGTATTCGCTGTTTACTTTTGTGAAGCGTTCAGACTACTTGGTTGTGAAAACTTGAAAAAGAAGAAATGAATAAGAACGGAAAATGATGCGTGAAAATGAAAGCATTCATGATCCACACTTTCGTTATTTGTTTGTTATTTTTCTTTAATTTAGATTTTATTTTCACTTTTCAAAATAGAATTTAGCTTTCCACTAAATTCAAATTAAAGTTCTTTTTACTCTTCCAGGAAAATCCTAACGTGTTTAGATTGATATTGAGATGATCTATAACGTAATTTTATAATTTAAATAAATTTATCAACTTTATTTTCATTTTCTACTCTTTTAGTGCAATGTACTTGTTTATTATTCTCCCCCTATTATATATTTTTTTTTTGGAAATTTAAAGGACAAGAAGTCAAGAACGCCAAACACGTGGAATTGCACGCATTTATGAATCACGACATAATTTTCCGTTTGAAAAGAATGGAAAACTTGAAAATATTTGTAGGCTTGACCATGAGCAATAATATCACATGATCATCAATTTTTCAAGGCATTTTAGTAAATTTTTGTTTACTTCAGATTTTTCAATATTTTTCTTAAAGCAACACTTGTTTTGCAATGATTTTTAGGATCATTCACACAACCACACACACACACACACACACACACACATATGCGCAAGGTAAAGATCTCCTCCCTAAGTTCATTCTAGGCCAATTAAGCAGGATGACAAGCTTCACTTCACAGATTTCATGTCTTCTACTGTTTCTGCTATTTGCAACAGCATCTAACGGAAGCGGGGATGGTACGAACATGGCGGTCCGTTGCAATGAAAACGATAAAAGGCTGCTCTCGATCTTCAAACAAGGAGTGGTAGATCCAAAAGACCATCTCTCCTCTTGGGCTGTTGAAGATGATTGCTGTTCATGGGTTGGAGTTCACTGTGACAACATCACAGGCAGGGTTATGAAGCTTGATCTTTTCAATCATGCATTTGGAGGTGAGATAAATCTATCTCTGCTTCGACTTGAATTTCTCAACCACTTGGACTTGAGCTCCAATGACTTTATAACTGTGAGTATGTCACCATGCCAATTCTCCAAATCTCCTGTTGATGGACACAAATTTGACAACCACTCACTTGCTACTCCTTCTAATCAATCAGAAAATTTTTCTGTTTCTCTACGCTTTCTTGACTTTTCTGACAATTTTAAGTTAGTCATAAGTGATCTTCATTGGCTTTCTCAACTTACTTCCCTAAAATATCTTGACCTCAGCGGCAATGATATAGGAAATGAAACCAAATGGCTCCATTATATGGCCATGCTTCCTTCACTCTCTGAGTTACACTTGAGATTTTGTCAATTGAGCAATTTTCCATCCCTTGATTATGCCAATTTTACATCACTTGAAGTTCTTGATCTTTCATCAAACTTCGATACCAAATCAAAATTACCTTATTCACTCTTTAATGTTACCAATCACATCTATCATCTTGACCTCAGCGGGTGCAATTTCTTTGGCGAATTACCATTAGCCTTGCTCAATCTTGAACACCTTCAATATTTACATTTGGGATTTAATAATCTCGAAGGATCAATTCCATATTGGTTAGGTCAATTTGAACGGTTGCAGTATTTTGATATCTCTGATAATATGTTCAATGGTTCAATTCCATCATCTTTAGGAAATATTTCTTCCTTAATTTCCTTACACTTGTCATCTAATCACTTGAGTGGCTCTCTTCCAGAAAGCCTTGCAAAACTCCTTAACTTGAATCACTTACACATTGGACACAATTTCTTGGTGGGTGTACTCACAGAAAAGAATTTTTCAAATTTCTCAAATTTAACATCTTTGGACTTGAGTTCAACAAGTTTCAAATTTGATATTGATCCTCAATGGATCCTACCATTTCAACTTGAGGAATTGGATATGAGTAACACAAGTATAGGGCCAAATGTTCCAACATGGATATATACTCAGCGGTCTCTAGAACATCTATACATTTCTAGATCAGGGATTTCAACAATTGATGCAGATGTATTTTGGAGCTTTGTAGCAGGAATTGATTATATTGATTTGTCACACAACTTGATTAGTGAAGACATATCCAATATCACGGTATTAGCAAATGTCTCTTCCTTTTTTGCATCTCACAACTCTTTGTCGGGATCTATTTTCTCGTTATCGTGCCATCTGGAGAGTGATGAGGAAAGCAAGTTGTCTGCTTTGGATTTATCACATAATCATTTGAGTGGAGCTCTTCCTGATTGTTGGTCCAATTGGAAACAATTACGTTTCCTTGGATTGGGGAGTAATAAGCTTACAGGTGAACTTCCTCCCTCAATGGCTTCATTGATTCATCTTATGCTCTTAGATTTGAGTTATAATAGTTTCTTTGGCAAATTTTCATTAGACTTGTCAAATTGGACAGATTTGGAATGCCTCAACCTAGAACAAAATAAATTTTCTGGAAGTTTGCCAAATACAATTCAGCAGAATATGATGGTTATCAAATTGAAGGCCAATCAATTTACAGGCAATATTCCATCTCAGATGTGCAACCTATCTTCTTTAAGGATATTGGATCTTGCTGTCTGGATCCATACCTCATTGCCTAAATAACATCATGCGTTCATTGCCTGACAATGTTTTTATTGTTGATGATGAATTTCATTTATTTACTAAAGGAAGAGAATTGGATTACTACCAGGATGACTACTATCTTAAGCTGATTGATTTTTCCAACAACAATTTATCTGGAGAAATTCCTAAAGAATTGTTTTATTTGACTGAAATGTGGTCGTTGAACTTATCCCGAAATCACTTGGTTGGAAAGATTCCGAAAGAAATTGGAGGCATGAAAAGTTTGGAATCTCTTGATCTCAGCAACAATAGACTCTCTGGGGAAATTCCTTGGACCATCTCTAATTTGTCTTTTATTGCTTATTTGAACCTCTCATACAACAATTTTAACGGGCAAATTCCGTTGGGAACTCAAATTCAAACTTTTGATGTCTGGAGTTTTGTGGGCAATCTTGAACTTTGCGGAGATCCTCTTCCAAAGAAGTGCAATGTGAAAGAAGAAACTTTCAACTCAAATCCTGCTGAAGGAAATGAAGATGACAACTTTCTAAAGTCATTGTATCTTGGAATGGGGGTTGGATTTGCAGTGGGCTTCTGGGGAGTTTGTGGTTCTCTCTTTCTCATTAGGGCATGGAGACACAAATTTTTTCAATGGTTTTATGATTTGGTAGATCAACTTTGTGTTGTCGTGGTCCTGTGTTTTAAAAGCTCTTGTTGAACATGCATAAGGAACAAACTACTCTTGAGGTAGCAAGTTAGCTGCCATATTTTTTATAAGTGTAGTTATTTTCCTCTCTTTGCTTGTTCTTCTTAACTGATTCTGTGTTATGTTTGTTATTGTTCAATATGTTTTCTCTACCCGATGCAAGTGCAACAGGAAGCATGGAATTCAATACTATTTAGCTTCTGCTTCATGCATCAACTGGGGCATTGCTGCAGATTCGTATTTTCCAGGCCTCGTTGTTTCCTGTTTAATGTCCTTTCATCATCTTAGCTATACTGAACAGTGAAAAAGAGAGAGGAGAGGTAATAACAATTATTAATGTATATGTGTGTTCTCATGCATTGTTGTGTGAAGAATCTTTTGTTGAATGTTTTTCTTGAGTGATGTATGGTTGTACCTTGAACTTGGATTGTGTTCTCTTTCAATGGACTGTCCTCTTAAAATCACGTTACTGATCTTGGCGCTGCAATTCGTGTATGCATTTTCATAAACAATTATTTTAAAGGCATATGGGCAAAAAAAATATTACTCCCTTCATCTCAAATTATAAAATACTTTTAAATAAAATTTAATGTAAAATTACATGTATGATTTTGAAGTTGGAAAAGGATTGGGAAAACTTAAAAATTGGGCATTTTGGAGTTGGCTCTAGTTCAATATTTTAAAGAAGTATATTTGATTGCACATTTGCACCCTATGCATCTAAGAAGATATCATATATAGTCGATATTATCAAACGTTAAAAACAAATAAAGGTCTATTATTTACGCATAACGTCTTTCCTTATTTTTATATATAATTTTAACTCGCCCAACTTGTTCATTTTTTGATACTATTCAAATCATAATTTGAATATATAAATTTTAATAGTTTGAAATATTATTCCTGTCATATTTATGAGTTACGCCATTAAATGTTTATCACAAATTTTTATTTTTATCTCCTATATTAACTTTAATGATAGAGAAAAAGTATATTATTAAAATATACATTTTTAATTGAAGCAAAATTTTTATATTTTTAAATAGAGTTAATGAATTTTAAATTTTATTTTATTTTAACAAAGTATATTGAAAGTGACTAATTATATAAATATGGTGAGATAAAATATGTATAGAAGTTACTCGTGTGTAAAAATGGTGTAGAGTTTTATCTGTCTTCTCTGCCACGACTCATCAAATTATGGGGCAATTAAGAGAATATCTCCTTATTGACTATTTTAATTTGCTTTATGCTATGTTTAGTTTAAATCTTAACTGAGGTTTGAGTAGCCCAAACTCAGTTGGGATTGTTGAAAGCTCATTGTGAGTTAAAAATTTTGTTTGGATAAAAAAAAGTTGAAAAGAGCTTTGGAGACGAAAAGCTCATTTTGGTTGGAGCTAATTCAACGAGCTTTTCTTCTCAACACGCAGTATCAGTGAACATAGATGGTAATGCATTTTTAGCTTCTTGTCAAATTTCTCCCTCCAAGTGGCTAAAGGTACGGTAGATATATTATTATGATACTTACTCATCCATGACCCCTGGAAACTGCCCAAAAAAAAAAATTGATATTTCGTTTTGTGGCAAATTTTACAATATTTTTCTGAAATTTTTATGGGAAAATATATCTACCAATTTATTAATTTAATTTCAATTTTTACAATTTAATATTTTATTATTTATCAATCTATTTTAGCTTTTTAGAATTTAACATTTTATTATCTATCAATTTATTTTAAGTATTTTGTAATTTAATATATGTAATTTATTATTTACTCAATATTTTAATAATTTATAAATAATACTTAATTATATATAGAGTTTTTTTATAAAAAATTGTAATTTAAAGGTCAATGTTTTTTTCCAAGAATATCAAATCAGGAAAAAAATTTCTACAATAAAATATAATAAAACTAAATAAAAATAGATTATAATAAGAAATCAAAGATCCTTCGTTCCTGATATAGATTTGAATTTTATCTAATTCATTCAAGCCGGCCAATCACATGTAAAATTGTAATTTTAAGTTCAATACTTTCCTTAAAATTATGCAATTAGTCACAAAAATATATACAATAAAATTCACATCCATTCCTGTCTTTATACATCTCAACTGTTTTTGAATCAAATCATTCAAACAAATTTCAATTTGTCCAACGCACTTCTAAAAATAAATATCCAAGCATACATTACGTTAGAATCAGAGACTTTTATCCCAATCTCAATTCATTCTAACTTTAGTTGGAAATTTTTTTAATCCAAACACACATTTAGTGCACCTTTTGCAGTAATACTTCAATGTACAAAATGATCAGGATCCTAATCTTCAATATATTGATCATATTAACCAACGTAAAAAAAATAAAAAAATCACAATATTTATAAACAGTAAATAATACAGCATGTTTTCTCCATCTCCATGCAAAATAAATAACCACTTGTGTGTGTATCTATATATGATTTAACTCCAAAAAGGCCCCTGCTTGAAGGAAAAATTATCATGAACATGGGCAGAGCTCATCTTAAAAAAAATCAATGAATTAAATAATATTTTTACGCCTCAACTATATATTCACTCAAGAATGTTTAGTATCTTATGTTGGCAATAACAAGAAAAATCACAGTTTGAATCATGTTCAATGACATTATCCTTAAAAACTATTTTGTCACACTGAGTTGATCATGCAATAGTTTTTTAGGATTAAACAAATTCTTCTTACAAAATAAATAGAGACACAAAATAATGAAAATCACAAAATAAACTAAGGCAACAACACAGATGAAGTAGTAGAAGAGAGAGAACCCAAAAGTTCAAAGGCTCAATCCATCAAACTCACTAGTGGCACTGTCTTTTAAAGGCAAGGGCCATATGATAGTTAGGCACAATTAAGTAATGATAATGACATCACACATCTTATTCTTATTAACAAAAGCAAGATATTATTCATGATAGTAAGTAAGTAGAACCCAGAAAGTAAGAGTGAAATACTAGAATCATCAACTATTTCCTTTGAATTTGTACATCTTTCTTTAGCCTTTTCCTTTGATCGTCTTCCATCTTCTATAAAAAGAACCTTTTTTAATAAAAATTAAAAGCCCTATAGAATACTCCACCCTACCAAAAATGCTTGTATCCAAAATACAGACCTTCCTTTTCTCAACTCCTATAAGCTATATCACAGAACCAACTCCTTCATTAGGGTACTAGATCCCTAATTTCTACCCAATGCCCTCTTCTAAAAGAAGTTGTACCAACTTCTAAGCTTGACTAGTGTGGTCTTCCGGCCACTATTGCTAAACAATATGTTACCTTTAAAATCCCTCAACCTTTGATAGACACCTGGATTAGCCAAGGATATACACATCTTCATGTTAGTGTCATTTGTTTGATCTTGACCTTCATGGAAAAAAAGTATTTTTGCTATAGTTAGGAGAGCCTTGTTGGATACTGTTTATAAGTCTTTTAGTAATGCTTTAATTGATATACTGTTGACTACCTTCAGTCAAGGAAGCATGATCCTCAACATAGCCTTAGATTTCAATATCAAACCTACAAATCCCACTCTCTCCACTAGACTAAAAGTTCATATCCAGGTAATTAGAGCAGAGCAAGACCTTTTAGCTATGATGGCTACCTTCCATTACCAAATCATCTTTAGACTACAAGATTTATTCACTTGATTTCAACTTCCTTACACTACTATAAAAATATCTTATAGCAGTGCCCATTTTGAATCACTTCTGAAAAAAAAGTTCTGGAATATTGATGTAAAACTTATCGAAGCACTTAAAATGAATAAGCACTCCAAAAATAGCACCATTAAAACTAGTAATTATATCAAAGCACTTAAAGTATAAGAGTTCCTGTAGATTGTCAAAAGAAAAATTATATTTTAAAAAAAAAAAAACATATACCTTGATGAGCGTTTTTCTTGTAAGAGCTTTGGAAAGTTTAATTTCTTTTTTTTTTTGGTTGAGAAAATTAACCTTTGGGAGCAGTTTTCTAGCAAGTGCTCTAAAGGTTTTAAAAAAAATAATTTTTTTAAATTAATCTTTGGAAGCGCTTTCCTAATAAGCGCTCCAAGAGCTCTTACAAAAAAATATATATTTAAAAAGATTAACCTTCCGAAGTGCTTTCTAGAAGCTCTCTTAAAAAAAATTTAAAAGAAAATTAATCTTCTAGAGTGTTTCCACGTAAGCACTCTAGAAGCTTTCACAAAAAAAATACAATTTTTAAAAATTACATTATCTCTTTGAATATATTTGATACAACGTTTGCATTCCATGATTTGCAATACGCATAAGCAAGAATCGTATAAATGCTAACGCAGTCACCTGATATGCCCCTCCCTTCCATAAGATTAAATAACTTCTGAACACATGGCATCCTTTCTGGCATACATAACCTTCTTATTAATGCCCTAAATATTGAAACATCAATGCAAAGACCTCTTCTAAGAAACCCATCGAGGAGTGTAACAACTGCCTCTTCATTGTCTTTATTGCGGTAACCATCTACTATCCATGGATAAATGTAGTAATTGGGGCAAAACCCAGCATCAAGCATGGAAAACAACATCCATCCTCTAACATCTTGTTCTTAAATTTCAATGCAGATTTCATGTCTCCGATCTTGCAGTAAGCATTTATCAACGTGACTTTCCTTTCACTCATCTCAGTCGAGTTTCTTTGCATCTATTATTCTGCCATCCTGACACAGCTTACACAAAATTGAGTTATAAGTAACAACGTCAGGATACATCAGGGTACAATCCCTTAGCCTCCATCATCTCACACAATTTCAGAGCTTGCTCAAGGTCAGTTATTTACAACACCCATCGACCAATTTATTGTATGTAACATTATTGGGAATTGCACCTTTGATGGTGCGGAATATCCTCGTGGCTTCTCACATCCTACCCTCTCTACAGAGTCCATAAATAAGAGAACTGTAACTAACATTGTCAAGATTTCTTTCCTTTCCATCCTGGATAGAAAAAGCCTCATAGTGCATACTTCTCTAGCAATATAATGATATCGAAGTATCGTATGTGAAAATATCAGGAAACACACCCTTCGCTTCCATCTCATTCAGTAAATGATCTGCTCTCTCTACATCTCCTGATTTGGAACAAGCATGGATTAACACATTATAGATATGTAAATTAGGAACAATACTAACTCGAACCATTTGTTTGGAAACCTTCCATGCCATGTTAGTAACCCCATCCTTGACCAAAGAATTCAAAAGCACTAGGCATGCAAATGAGGTTTCAATTTGTAATGACAAAAAAAAAAAAAAAAAATCTGATGGGGCATTATTTTGTAATTTTTTTTCAACAAACTTTGGGTCTTGTTTTGTAATTTTTCCAATGGACTTGTTATT